ACTGGTCCTCGGGTAGTCTGCGTTTTGTAATAAGCACACGTTTTAGTGCTGGTATTAACTAGAATATTGTAACAAACCTGGACTTCTTACTCCTAAACTTAACCCAGTACTAAAACATTTTTTTGGAATAAGACTGTATAGGTTTTAAATTATACATTGCTGTTAGTAGTTGGTGGTTCCATCTGTTGGAGGCTGAAACCAACTACTAACAACATATTTCCTTATTACACATCTGTACGAACCAAGTGGCTCTTTCTTGTGGTCCCGCTCGTTTCGAACAGATGGCGCTTTACTGACACTGTAATGTAAGTACCTAGTTTAACTTGTTGCCACTAGAGGGCATCTATTATGGTATGTATGGAAAAAACAGTGTTCTAGATTTTACTTGTATTTCGTCTATGGACAGCAGAATAAACGATACCAAAATCGAATCAAGGAGTTTCCCTGCTCATCCTCAACATTTTTTATAATTGCTCTTATGTCCCTCTACTGTAAAACAAATATAATTTCAATGTCAGTCGCGTGTCCCCATAACAAAATACTATACGACATTATGTTATGGAAATAGCTAAAGTAAATAAGTCTAGCTGTTTCCATACTGGTAAGATTTCTAATCTTGTTAACAGCATATGCTACAGAACTAAGTCTGCTTACAAGTTTTGATATATGGAGGCTCCATTGAAGCATCGCGTCCAGTGTTATTCCAAGAAAAATGGTGACACAGTTCTTCCCCATTTAATATTACATTATTATTTAAATGTTTGACATTTGGAGTCATAAATTTCATACATTTCGTTTTAGTGCCATTTAAATGCAAGTTATTAACATGAAACCAATTTACTAATTTAGATATAGCATTATTTACTTCGTCATATTGTAATAAATGTCGTTTTAATTTAAAAATTAATGAAGTGTCATCAGCAAATAATACTATATTATGGTTACCCTTACTATGTAAGATAGTAGTCATTAATATATACAAGAAACAGGAAGGGGCCGAGAATTGAGCCTTGAGGCACGCCCATTTGTACTATCGACTCGGAAGAGCTCACACTATTAATGACATTTTTTTGCGTTTTGTTACTTAAATATGAAATAATTAATTTAAGAGCATTACTTCTTACGTCGTAGTGTTGTAGTTTCCTGATTAATGTTTCATGGTGAACACAATCGAAGGCTTTGGATAGGTCACAGAATATACCCAAAGCATCCTGTGAATTCTCCCATGCATTGAAAATATATTTAATCAGCTCAACACCAGCATATTATCGAGTGACCTCTTTTGAAATCGAATTGATTTTATAGATGAAGTAAATTATTTACATTAATTTTTTTTTACATTTGATCAAGAATAATTTTTTCAAAAAATTCACTAAGTGTTGGCAGTACAGAAATCGGTCTAAAATTGACGGGGTCTAATGAGTTCCAGTAGCAGTCACCGAAGTACACCATCAGGTCTCTCCATCAAGTCCGGAGGTAAGGTCTCATCATAACTAACAAAACGAGCACAAACTCGGCACTCCTAATTCTACTCGTCGAGTATTTCCAGTAGCAGTCAACGAAGTACACCATCAGGTCTCTCCATCAACTCCGGAGGTAAGTTCTCATCATAACTAACAAAACGAGCACGAACTCGGCACACCTAATTCTACTCGTCGAGGAGTTCCACTAGCAGTCAACGAAGTACACAAATCAGTCCATAAAGTCCAAAGCGAACATGCATTTATATAAATCCCACTTACTTTTAGCGAATATAAATGTCTGATCATAAAAATAATAATATTTTTTTACCTTGTCAAGTACTTATGTATCATATTCGAATATTTTGTGTTTGTACAGCGATCTTTTTCTACATGAGCCGCTGCAATCAGGCGATACAGTATCCACTCACGACGGCGGCCGAGCGCGGACCACAGAACATAATATAATTATATCCCTAAAAGGGGCGCGGACTGTGGTTTCATCGAAATTTTTGTACAAATCGAAACAGGCACCAAAAAAATAAAATAACCCTTACTGCACTCGATTATGATTCAACTGTATTAGCAAAATATGTGAAAAAATTACGATAAGTAGAGTCAAAATTTTACAATCGTGTTTTTGAACAAGCAAATTCAAGATAAAGACATGAATTTACTTACATCGAAATTCCAGTTTCGTTACTCGTGTCATAATCCTATACTATTCGATGAAAGGAGGCGCATTTTTTCGCGGTGTCGCCTTAATGTGTCATGGGCCTTAACAAACAACTCGCCACATTCATTCACACTACACTGTTCCTGGTAATTATTACTAATCATATTACAGTAATTAAATTTTAGTGACCTATTATTAACTCACTACGCCAATCGGCTTAATGTTTTTAATTAATAAGTATTTCATTTGTAAGTGATTTGTAAATCTTTTGAGAAAATAAATGTCTTAAACCATTAAAGCAGCCGCTGCACTTCGCTGTCGTACAACGTCCATGGTTGCCGCGCACAAAATGAACGTTCCTTGGCGGATCGGTAAAGCTGCGTATCGGTCGATACGCAGCTTTACCAGTTTCACTATTAATTATACTCCACGTCATTTTAATTTTATTAGTCTTAATTTTATTGCAAAGACTTGGCTGTGGAGCACACTCCTTTAAATATTTTTGAATATTTCTGTACATATTCCCTAAATTCGACGCTAGGGTTATATGACCTTTCATGGTAAAGTTCATATAACCTTTGTCTGCTCTTAAGGACTCCTACGCCTACTGTAGCCCATTCATTGAATATGTTCCGACTGTTTAAGGAGAATGTTTTAGAAGTAAAAATATTACGAGGGTGGATTAAAAAGTACTCGGCCTAACACAGATCCATTCAATTCTAAAAATCAAATCTACCCACATTATTTAGTTCAGTTCAGACTAGTTCATTGTGTGAAGTTCGAAACGTGTGCGATAATTAGTTGTGATTTTATAAATTTATTAACAAAGTAATCGGACATAATTTCCGCGAATGGAGCAAATCGAGCAGCGTGCCGTCATTAAGTACCTCCATAAGAAGGGGCTATCATCAAAAGCCATCCATGATGACATGGTCAGTACATTAGGCCATTGTGCTCTGTCATATTCATCCGTCAAAAAATGGATAGCAGAATTTAAGCGTGGTAGAGAGAGTGTGAAAGATGAACCCCGCTCTGGAAGGCCTTCGACGTCAACTACTGAAGAAAATATTAAAAAAGTACTTGATTTAATAATGGGAGACCGCAGATTAAAAATTAGAGAGATAGCCGAGATTATAGGCATCTCTTATGAACGAACTCAAAACATCATTGTCAACGAGTTGGGTTTCCACAAGGTGTCTGCGAGGTGGGTTCCGCGACTGCTTTCAGTTGAACAAAAAAGGACGCGATTGACTATTTCACGCGACTCTTTGGAGTTATTTGAAGCCGATGCAGATGATTTTTTGAATCGTTTTGTTACTATGGACGAAGCATGGGTTCATTACTGTACACCGGAAACAAAACAACAATCAAAACAGTGGAGAAGACCTGGTTCACCACCCCCTAAAAAGCTAAGTCGATTTTGTCGGCAAATAAGGTGATGGCTTCAGTATTCTGGGACTTGAAAGGTGTGATTATGATTGATTATCTTGAAAGGGGTCAGAATATAAACTCTGATTACTACTGCACCTTACTACGTCGTTTACGAGAGGAAATAAAAGAAAAACGTCGAGGAATGCTCAGAAGAAAAGTCCTGTTTCATCAAGATAACGCCCGAGTTCACACGTCAGTACAGTCAATGGCTGAAATTCACAACTGTGGCTTTGAACTGTTACCGCATCCGCCGTATTCACCTGATCTGGCACCATCAGACTTCTTTCTGTTCCCTAACCTGAAAAAGCACTTGGGAGGTCAAAGATTTTCAACAAACGATAAGGTCAAAGCAGCTGTAGACGCATATTTTGACTCTAAGGAAGAATCATTTTTTTTCAACGGTCTAAATGCTCGGAAGGGGAGGTGGCAAAAGTGTGTTGAACTTGATGGTGATTATGTAGAAAAATAAAAATATAACTGATTTAGTATGTGTTTATTTTCTTGGTTAGGCCGAGTACTTTTCAATCCACCCTCGTATCAAACTCATATAAGCTTAAACAATGTTCCATACAAAAAATTAGGATTATTTTGGTATGAAAGTGATGGAAGTTTTTCACTATGTTACTTCTAAACTTCTCCAAGCGACGTGCATTTACTGTGCAACAAACACAAATTTATCATATACTTGCTTTTTGTGAACATAAAGTAACGAAACTTATTGTCCACGGTGATCAGAACTAAATTTTTGAATTATACATTTATCCAACGGCTTAACATTTGTAAAAATGTCACCTACCTATGCATGTTGCACTACATTCAGTAATACGCGTTGGCTCTAAAAATAAAAAGATTATTACCGCAATCATTTAATCCGGTTTTTAATTTTTTCAACAAATCAACAAGACAATCTCAAAGGAAACCAATAAAACAAGTACATAGAAATAACCATTGCATTTATTATATTATACTGTACACTCTTCTCTACCTTTCGTAAAAGGTATTCTTATGACTAGTAAAATATTTAATTTACAAATTTTATTTACAAGTTACTAATTTACAACAGACTACAACCGCTTAAAATAACGGAAACTAATTTATAAAATTATTATTTGCCTAATGTGTATACATACACCCACAATCATGCACATACAATTCCACATATTGCTATTGGATTACTTCTTAAATACATATTTATGATTTCATCAATGTCAACTATTACCAACAGTCTTCTAATATTACACCGAAATTTATTTTACAATAAAATATTGTCATTTATCTTAAATTCAGATTTAGGACATATAACTCTAGTCTTGAATACAAAAAACGATTGCACTATTTTTGATTTTGCTAATATTAAAATGGATTATATATATTATCACATTTGATGTACATTACTATATTGGATGTAATTGCCATTTAGAGTCTATCAAATATCACGCAGGGCTCTGAAACAAATACAAATTTTAAAAATAAAAAAACTAAGAAAATTATACTGTGTTTAATTATAATATTATCAAGAAATACATAAATGATAAAACAGACGTACAGAACCTGAGAACGTATATACACGTTTCCACTAAAAATTAAGATAATTAAAAAAATTGGTTGTTGGGTGTGATTTAGTTTAAACTACAAATTCGTCGTTAATAAAATATTCTTTGTGGAAAGCCAAGCATATGCCAGGTTGTCAGAGGTTAGTAATGATTATTTATGAATGCATATCGTTATTCGTTGGACGTCAGAGCCTCCTTCGTTGTTTTGCAAGGAAAACCAAGTGAAAGTGGGCCCAGCATTTGGAAAAATTATTTGCTATATTTCAGTACATGTTTCTAACGTGGTAGAGCCATGCTGCAGCTGTATTACTGGTATAGTTGTAGCACGAATGGGTCAGCTCGACCGGGAAACGACCACGGTCTCACAAAATACAAGCATAAAATAGCAGCATAACGTTGCTGTGTTTCTTCTTATGGTGAGTGTAGAGAACCGGAGACCCTTTTTACTGGAAATGAGGCGAGACCCAATTTATTGGAAAAGAGGCATACTATCTTAGTCCTCGTGGGTGACAACGCATCTGCATTCTGATTCGTAATCGATAGATGTAGATGTCTATGGGCCACGGCAACCACCTAACATCAGGTGGAGTGGGTGCTCGTTTGTCACCCTTATCTTATAAAAAAACCACCCAGTATAAATCTCTAAAATACCTCATCAAGCAGCGTCAAGGGCGAGGAATGTTGCGCAGCGCTGATGATGTCCTGCAGACAACGTGCGAACTCTTCAATGACGTCACGCGTGGGGTCGACCCCCATTTCAGCGCGGCCGTCCCCTCCCGCCTCCTCACGCCCCTCTCCACCCGCCGCCAGTAGGCACTGGCACACCGCCTCGATCACCTCCGTCGTCATGAAACTGCACGGCTGCCTGGAAATACAGTAAACACGGTTAGAAGGTTTCACATTCCACATAAAATTACTAAGCGGTAGGACTCCCCTTCACCCTAAAATTTGTCTCAGTAAGTACTACCTTCTCACCTTTTATTATGGCCAAACAGCATTATATTTCAATGGCTAAAATTCTGTGCCTGTAAAACATTTTAATGCAGCAGCAGCCGGTACAGTATGTTGGCGATATGCTATGGGGACAGGCAAGCACAGCGGCAGGCAGCGTGAGGGTGAGAATTCACTTGACTTGGTCCTCTAGCAGGTTGATGACGGAGGATACGTCGCTGGACGATGTGGGCTGAGACACGTAGGTGGTGTAAGGGTGAGCACTCACTTGAATCGTAGTGAGGACGGCGGCTTGTATTGCAGGTTGGTGACTGGAGGGTACGTCAGAATCATGATGTGGGCACAGTAGCAGACGGTGTAAGGGTGATCACTCACTTGAGTTTCGGCCGCGGCCGGTTCAACAGGATAGTGACAAAGAGTACGTCACCAGCTCCGTGTGAGGTCGGCAGCAGGCGGTGTAAGCGAGCACTCACTTGAGTTGTTGCGGCGGCGGCGGCCGGTACAGCGGGTTGGTGACGGCGGGGGGCGGGGGGTCGCGGCGCCGCGATCTCTCTAGCGTCTCCTCCACGTTGCGGCAGCCGACACATTTGCATATCGACGTGCACGCTATTTTTGCCTGTAACCAAGTTTTAATATATGCTATTATTTTAATAACCCATTAATAGGCTATTTTTGGGCATAAACTCTCTTAAGGTAGTAGAGATTCGCCGTTATCCCCACGCTTAGAATACAGGCAGGACTAACTATAGCATCCTGATGTCTCGGTCGTTTATGTGGGTATAATGAGATGATTGTTTGTATTATATCCCTCTTAGTAGTTAATTTTATAGTACTCGAAAAACCAAAGAATTATTAATTTTTGCAATTTTAAGCGCCAGCGGTGAAGTAGTACATTGACATGTATGTCTAAATAATAAATAAAATAAAGTGTGCATATGTATACTTCACACGCGGTAGATTTGAAACCTTCAAATGAAATTAAATATAAAATATACATAATATATTTACATAATGATTTATTTAATATAATAATTTTCAAACACAAGTGCAGGATAAAATGTAAGATAAAAGTTTAATTTCATAATAAATAAATGTTACAATCCTTATTTTTAGATATTTACTGCTTTGCAATAGCGCCATCTACTTCATTATATATGTATTTATCGAACAAAAATTGATTGACTCTCAAGGTGATACATAAAATAGACGCCGGGTGGCCTAAACAAGATATAATATTCTATATCTCATCTCTCGCAGACTAAATCCTATAAATATATATGTTTGTCTCTTTTAGTGTCGCTTTTTCGTTTCATCGAGTTTCAAATTACAACGATTCTAAAGAAGTTTTCACTTCCAACAAATTTGACTTTGTAATCCAGCAACATACACTGTACATTGGACCGATTGTTCTATTATCCTCTTGGAAGTGAAAGGAGGTCTGTACCAAGCAGTGGAACAATAGATAGGCAGTAACCTTCTTAACCATAGTAGTCTCATAAACAGATATTACAGATTTACTTACCTCGTAACATTCACAGTAGTTTTTGAGACAGCCACTTCGTTTACAATTACAGCCCTTATTGTGTCTCCGAACTATTTCTGGACCTCCAATTTTGGCTTTGCCAATTTTGGGCCTGGAAAGAGTTTTAAAAAAATCTGTCATACATAATCGGACATAGTTAACACGTTCATGCACACACTTATAACTTGCAATATAGTAGCTCTATGTGATATTGCACATAATTTTTTCAAACAAACTAAAGCGTCTAATGACGTTGTGCAAATAACTGATTATATTAGTATTGAAATTTATTGCGCTGACGTCCTAAGACGTCGACGTTTATATACGCTGTGCAACGACAAATATATATATATAAAAGTTGTGCAGTAAGGAACGACGTATTATAAAGTCGACGTATATAGATGCCTGTTGCCGTTAAGCGTAGATAAATATATATCCAACAGCTAACAACGCCAAATAACATCAACTTATGTTGACGTTGTTTTGGCTAAAAACGTTAATATAAGAATTATTTTGTATAAAAATAAAATGTTCTAAAAAATTTTAATATATTATTAGACAAAAAGAAATAAAATGAAAGGCTTATTATATGAAATTATTTATTTTAAAATGATTGAGTTAATCAGTCTTCAGGTCCGGCGAAAGTAAACGCGGTTGCATGTTAATTGTCGAGTTACCTTTTGCACATTCAAGGTCTGATGGAGGCAAGAGCTACTGCACATGAAATGTTGGGTTGTCGGTTACATCTCATAGAATAATATGCCTACTCGGGGCCGATCGTAAAAGCTAAGGCGGAGAAGTTTTTTTGTTTTTTGAAGAACAAGGTTTTTCAAATTATCAGAAGGATGGCTCAAAAAATTCAAACAACGTCATCATATCAACTATGATAAAATTAGTGGAGAAGCACGAAGTGTTGATGCAAATCTTACTCACGACTGTATTAATAGTGTGGTCAAATACGCCTCAAGTGACATTTTTAATGCTGATGAAGCAGGGATTTTTTATAAGTTGACCCCAGGTAAAACTCTGAAATTCAAAGGGGAAAGTGTGTGGGAGGAAAACTCTCCAAGGAGCGTATTACAGTGCTTGTGGCTACTAATATGGATGGCACAGAAAAAAAAGCTGATGGTAATAGGCAAATCGAAAAATCCGTAGTGTTTTAAGAACATTAAAAATTGCCAGTGACGTATACAGCTAATAAATCAGCTTGGATGACCAGTTAACTTTTTGAAGAAGAAATGTGAAAGTGGGATGCAGAATTAAAGGGACGAAAAATAAAATTTTACTTGACAACTGCCCACTCTCTTATATCAAACCTTCAAAACATAGAGTTGGCGTTTCTTCCTCCAAATACGACTATTGTTTTGTAGCCAATGGATCAAAGCGTGATTAAAAGCCTCGAGGGTCACTAACTACAGAAGGAAATTATTGATGGAGCTAGTCGAATCTGATGGTAAAACTTCTATTAGTACGCTGCATGCAGTAAATTTTTTATCTAAAGCCTGGGAAGAAGTGACACCCATAACAATACAGCACTCTTTTCAACATGCTGGACTTTGTACAAATTCTATGAGTAATCGATGAGGTGGAAACGGAACCGGAGTTTGATTGAGACGATGATCTTCCATTGACTGAGTGGATTCAACATGGCAGAAAAATTTACAGAAAATCTTCAAACCTACATCGAAGTAGACAACTGCCTGCTTGCAACGGATTTACTCACAGTTAAAGAAATTTTGGATTTGGTAAGAACAACTGAGGATAAAGAACAAGGAGATGACGAAGATGTACCTGAGCCTCTGCCGAGCATTAAAGATGCTCTTTGAAGCAGCAATATTATTGGAAAAGTATTATCTTTATAACGAAGATTACTTAATATCGCAAGATATGAATAAAATAAGTAAAAAAATACAACTAAAATTACTGGTGCAGCAAAAGACGTCAGAAGAAAATAACAGATTACACGCAATAGCGTTCAAATAACATTTGCTTTTAAGTAACTACTAACACTGATGTGAAATAAACTTTCTTTTTCTAATATAGATTTATCTTCGTACCATTTAACGACAACTCTCTATAACGTCAAAATATGCAGTCTCCTGAATGTCGTTATATAGAGGTTACACTGTATTTTTCAATAAAAATAATTTTTATTAACATATAAATATAGTAATAAAAGTTTCATTTATTGCGTTGTTTTACATGAAATAGAATGATTATTTACAGTACAAACAAATTAAATACATATCAATTTTATAAAATTTTATATATATATATATATATCTGAGCGTGACGGTCACGCGAGTTCAGTTCTTTTTCCTTATCCCAAGAGTGCCCAATGTACCTAAAGAAGTTTTCATTTCAATAAAAAAAAGAAGAGCGTAACTTAGAGTATAAATAAAGGTTATTACCTAAAGGCGTTAGGATTTCTATCAAGACATCCCCTGATAGCTTTTTGCCTCAGCTCTTCATTTTCCAAGTTATTATGACAGTTGTTGCAGTTACATCGATTGCAAAACTCCCCATTTGCAAAGCAGTCACAATATAATTTAAGGCACTGAGACTTTGTACAGTTGCATGCCTTTCTTGGCCTTAAGCCAAGTTCTGTGGACACCATTTCTGGAAAACACATTATTTTTAAGAAATAAAAAATATTTCTAGTAAATGTGTGTCGGAGTCATCCCTGCTCCTAAACCCTCTCAAAAATGAGAGGAGTCCTATACTCTATTCCTTACTTTAAATAAAACACACGAAAATGATTACTAAAAAAACAATAAGTGGTAACATTAAAAAATTTGTCTTCAATAAATATAAAATGAGAACGTCATCCAAAAGTCAATTAAATACGCATTATTAAGGATAACTCAAAAACTATTTCTTCTTGATCAAATTTATATGGGACTACATGAGAAATATCAGCTTTCAAATAAAAAAAATCATCAAAATCGGTTTACCTAGAAAAAAAGTTACGAGGTAAAACACATAAAAAAATACATTCGAATTGAGTAACTCCTCCCTTTTTTGAAGTCGGTTGAAAAAACGAACTTACAATCCATTTGATGGTACGTGGGTACCGACATCTGCAAACAACCTCTAACAAAGAAGGCTACAGATGCGTTGTCACCTCTGAATATTATTAGTTATTTATGTTATATTATATATATATATATATAACTATATAATATAACATAAATAACTAATAATATATATAGTTATATAACTATGTATCCTTTCAAACCGGAACAAATGCCTAAGAGCACTACAAGTACTGATATTAGGCATTTTTATATACGTGATAGAGCCATGCTGCAGCTATATTAATAGTATAGTTGTAGTACGAATGGGTTGGCACGACCGGGGAAGGACCACGCTCTCACAGAATACCAGCGTAAAATAGCAGCTTAACGCTGCTGTGTTTCGTATGGTGAATGTAGAGAACTGGAAACCCTTTTTACTGGAAAAGAGGCATTCTATCTTAGTCCTCACGGCTGACAACGCATCTGCATTTGAATTCACAAGCAAAGATAGATGTGGATGTCCATGTATGATGGTTAGTATATATACATATATCTATATATATACTAACCATCAGGTGCAAAGGTGCTCGTTTGTCACCCTTATTCTATAAAAAAAAAACCCCCACAGAACAAATTAATACAATGGTATTCCTGTCATCACAACCACGTGACAAGTATCTAATAATTACCTCTTCCAATGGACTTACCTGTTTCAGAAGTAGCTTGCGGTGTTCTTGGTGACTGATATGCATTTAGTAAATCTGCATCAACACTTAACAAGCTATTCATTTTTTGCGAGTCCTCCTGTGAAAAGTTATAGGTTCGTTTGTAACATGATAAACAGAAGCTGGCCTAGCTTATCTACGAGCAGAATTGCTTTACACAAAAACATTAATTAACAACACTGATATAAATATCAATTTATTACAATAGCATCAAAAATCAACACCTCTATACAGGGTTATTATTCAAAGAGTAGCCAAATTTTAAACTTAAGTTCAAATATATAAATAATGAAATACCGTTATTGTAATTATTGAAAATACGAGTGAATAAGGATTCTACTCTTATTTGAAATTATCCCAAACATGTATGGGCAACATCACAACGTTTTTGCCGACTGAGCGACTCTTACGAATGTGTGCGTGCGTAATAAAATTGTAGACGTTAAATATTTACACGCATTTTGAATTTAAAAGAAAAAAGGACAGAATGTTTGAATTTTTTTTTATTAATTTGTCTTCACCATTTGCCCATATTACTTATTCAAAATAACCCAGTATATTACCTGATATTTGCCATACATACCACACTTTAGCAGGTGGTTTGGCAAACACAGTTGATATTATTATTATTGAGTTGTTATCAGGAAAATGCCGATGTCCGTCTCGTGTTTCAGTTTCCCTCTGTCACCATTTACAACATCCACTGGATGATATGAGGCAGTGGATATTCTTGCACTGTTTCTACACCGTTTGTTAAAAATACTGTTCCAATGTTCTATTGGAATGATGCTATTCCAAGCTAGTAGACAGAAGGAAGAGAGAGAGGTCGTTTTCTTGTTGATTTTATTTTTTATTTATTTTGTATGTTTCAGTATACTTCAAAGTGTATGTATATCATGCGTGTATTAATGCCAATAAAAAATATATGTATATTCTATGTCTATTGTCTACGCATGTAATTGACTAAAATATGAGTAAACTACCTTAAGAGCTATGACTTTTTACAAAAACCGACAATACTTTTCAGCAGTTCCGAAAATTATTTTGAAGTTTTGTTAATGACAATATCTATAATAATAATAATAATGTTCTCCAGACCGAATATCGGTCACGGCGGACAACCTCAACGGAGACTAGCCATCGGCGCAGGACAGGATTATAGTGTCAGAGTTTGCGCGGAAATACAGGTGCACTCTTTATTCCCTCACTCTTATAATCCGATGGGATGGAAATCCGACGCGATCGAAGAGAAATCGAAAGACAAACAACGGCTTTACGCGCTTGCCGAGGCACGGGAGTGAAACACCGCCAACTTCCTGACTACGGGATGCTACTGAGAATTTCCTGACAGATAAGGCCTTTGACTAATTTTGGCCCAATCAACGACCATTAGAACATCATCATCAAGCTACCTATTGCATTAATATAAAAATTAACTTACTGCACAAATTATTCTTATCCATATTTTATTCAAAATAGTGAAATCAAGACCATGTGGGATGAAGAATTTTAGCAGTTACAATTTTTTGACTAAGCCATTCTGTTTTTGTCATAAAAATGTATATAATTGACGTACAAGTTTTTTTGCCTATTCATCTTAGCATAGTTTTTTGAATGACAAAAAAAGAATCTGAACATTGTCAAAATAATTTTAGAATTTTATTTATTCTATAATGTCAGTCTTGCACGAGACCACAAATTAACTATAACAAAGTGTTTTTACAAAATAATACCCAAGTTATTTTTCCTGCTTGTTAACATTACAGACTTCTTCATACTGTCCTTGTTATAAATATGTACACATATAATTCAACTATAAACTTACATGTGCAGATTGGTTGTCATTCAAATTCATGGTATTAGTCTCTTTTAAATAGTTTGAAGGGATGACAATCAGTGAATGCTCTTCTGATCTACCACTCGAGTCATGTTGGTCCATGCTATCATTCTTTTCATCGCCATCTGAGTACTGGAAAAATTATGAATATTAATATATAAGACACTGTCATCACCAATGACTGTTACGAAAATTAATAAAAATAATAAGGGACTTAGTTTTGAACATTAAGACCCCAAGTAACATTATCAGTAAAATATTTTATGGATTTATGCATGTTTACTTTAACTTATGTAACATTTGAAGTGATTTGCTTGTAATGGCAGGATTATGTATGTGAACATAATATAATGTATATTATGATCTCAACCAGTGAATAGTCGAGAGCTTATGACAGTGCAAGGGATATTATAGTACCACAAGTATAAGCGGCAACGCAGTCACTTGCCCTAGCTTACCAATTTCCAATGTTGGGATCATGTGGACCAGGTGGACGACCATGTGCTTATTTGGCAAATTTACTCAGAACAGAGTTTGTAACTCGTTCAAATTTTATTCGATTTCAAGATAATTTAGCACACAATCGAACGGTAGTTCATATCGGAATTATTAGTTCAGAAGTGTTTCAGCTGTCCATTGCTAGATGTCGCTCAAAATCGCAAGCGACGAGAATGCTCTTTTTTAATAAGTTTGTTTGAGTAAGCTTTTAAAATCAAGTTCAAAACAATACCAGGTCTAATCAAAGCTGAATCGAATTCGAAAAATATATTTCGAAGTAATGACCAATTTTTATTTTTATACAACTGTTTATCCGGCTCCTTTGGGATTCGAACCTGGAACCTTCTAAGCAACGAGGTACTTTAACCACCAGGCCTAGTGGACTGTACGCTGATTGTTATAATAATGAACTATAAAATATTAGTAATTACAAATTACGTACGCAATCCCGTTTGAATTCCACTTCAACCTCATCAACAGAGACAATCATGTCCCGCGTGTCCGTCTGTTCGTCATCTGGCTGAGTGTCTGTCTGTGTATCGCTCTGCTCTTCGTCCCGCATCACTTCGGCCACGAGAGCCCGTAACGCCGCTTTTGAATCCATCTCTTCGGTTTCCTTAGACACTAAGTCCGAAGTGGCACTTTGCTGTACTTCAGACATTGGCGATAGTGGCGCTAGAAGACTCTGCGACGACCTGCTTGTCTGTTTAAGCAAAGAATAAAGTAAAGTTAAAGCCTTTTTACGTCCTTCATCCTCCTTTATTTCTGAGTGGATTTTAAAGCAAGAAATTGTCCGCCGCGCTGACCTAACTAAAGCCTGTAAGCAAAGAATAAAGTTAAAGCCTTTTTACGTCCTACAACCTCCTTTATTTCTGAGTCGATTTTAAGTCAAGAAATTATCCACCGCGCTGACCTAACTAAAGCCTATAAGCAAAGAATAAAGTAAAGTTAAAGCCTTTTTACGTCCTACAACCTCCTTTATTTCTGAGAGGATTTTAAGGCAAGAAATTGTCCGCCGCGCTGACCTAACTAAAGCCTTTAAGCAAAGAATAAAGTAAAGTTAAAGCCTTTTTACGTCCTACAACCTCCTTTATTTCTGAGAGGATTTTAAGGCAAGAAATTGTCCGCCGCGCTGACCTAACTAAAGCCTTTAAGCAAAGAATAAAGTAAAGTGAAAGCCTTTTGACGTCCCAGAACCTCCTTTATTTCGGAGTGGATTTTAAGGTAAGAAATTGTCCGCCGCGCTGACCTAACTAAAGCCTGTTGACGGGGACTTCACATGTCTTTGATTCTTTTAAATTTTTCAAACATGCAAGTTTCCTCACGACGTTTTTAATCACGAGCACGTAGCAAATCAGCACTAAATATAAAAAAGCCCGGGTCGCGTCATAATATAAATATAGTACTTATTTTGTGTGTAAGAGCTTAAATATGGTCTGGGAAAGATTTAAATATTTTACCTACATATTCGTTTTAAATAACACATTACTTACTCGTCACGCGGGCAGTGCTACACCACGCGTCATGATAGTAAGTACCAAGTAGCTTTTACAGTAAATACACAAATAATACTGTAAATGAACGCTTCTTTTAATTTATTTATTATATAAATATGTTAGAAGTTGTGATTATAATTTTTTATTTGATTAACAGTTTTTTCTTTCACCTTGTGGTCCCTGCTAACAACAAAAAAATCAAAGTGGTCAAATAAAAGGTTGGGAAACCCCGTCATAAACAATCACAGCTTCAGAGAATAGACGCTCTGAAACACTACCCTTCTCGGCCGAATACTTTTGCGCAATATTCGACTATTCGGCTAGGAAGCCACAGAATATTCGGAATTCGGCGTGTGGTCGAATATATTATACGTTGCAAGTCTATTTTTTTTTATTTCTCAGACAAGCAGGTTTCTTTCACCGCCAAGCACGTGGTAAATCAATACTTAAAATTACAATTAACAATTTCATTGGTGGTGACGGGCATCGAACCCGAGTCACTCACGTACTGCGTAATTTACTGCAGACGCTAAGCCCCTGAGCAACCAAGGGTCTTCAGATATTCATCAATAACCATTTATTGATTCAGTTTTTCAATTGCACAAAAATATCCTCTTTATGTTATGTTTGCGATGTTTCATGACACTTAAGTTCAGCCATTCTGAAGCTTAGCCCAAACAGAAAGATGGACTGGGACTAGGATATTTTAACCAAAAAAGCTTGGAGATGTTTTTGTAAAAACGAAAAACTAATAAAATAAATTGTTGTCGATGATTATGTTTAAGCTTTGAAAAGATTAAATAAATAAAATTAAACACCTATGCGAAGGGCGGGTTGCTTGTTTAAAATAAAGTTAATTTCCTGTCTAAATATATGCCAATTGTGAGACTGAGGGAATAAGTGTTCAGATTTAAATTCTTTAATTAACTTTTAAGGAAATAAACTTAAATACTTTTTAAGCATAATAATAGCTTAAATATAAAACAGACAGTTGATTTCACTCTAATGAACTGAGCTAAAGGTAAAACGGGTACATTTTCTTTTTAAACAGTTCATTACATTATGTTTATATATACAATAATAAACCCATTAACGTACCATTATGGATTGCGCTGATTTAGGAACTAAAGGTGCTATCTTCACCAACTTCTGTTGTGGCTTTACGGTCACTGAAACCAATTAAAAAAATTAATTTGAATACCAAATTGTTGAACAGTAATTGACAGATATTCTAAATGCTAACTGACTTGTAATACATTTAAATTTAAATTTAATTATAATTTTCAAATAGAGAAAAGAATATTTGGTAAATAATGTCAATGTTTAAAATAGTTTTTTCATTTTCTAAAATGTGAAAATATCTTTTGAATGTCAAATTCAATAATAATTATTTAAATGTCACATGGTATGCAGTAATCACAGGTGGCGAAATCTGTGTACTTTGAAATATTAACAGACAAGATATGAGTTTGCAATATTTGTAATTCTTTTGTAAATAAAATTTGGTTTAAAAATATATTAAATAAGAAAAAATATAATCAAAATAGCTATGCAACTTCATTAATGTTATAATATAATTTTTTAGGGCCGTCTATATAGCCTTCTATTGTAAGCAAATTAAAATAACAAAAGGCCGCTCAAATCTGTCATAGAAGTTACTACTGTGGGTCATGAAGTGACAATAGCGTTCAGGCAAACATAGTGTGGGCCATGGCTAAATCAAGATTGACACCATTTAAAAAACGTTACCCCCACACTAGGATTTTCTCCTGTATCGTGGAGGCAGTTTACAAACACAAATTTCACCAGGACAAACATCCAGACCCGGAACAATCATTTGTAGGCCATACAAATACTTGTTCCGTGCGGGATTCGAACCCGCGGCCCGCAGCCCCGCAACTCATTGCTAAGTCACTGCGCCACGGAGCCGTCGATGTTATGTGAAGATAGTGCCATATGTCACGCTTTGTTAGAGCCAGATATGAGGCGGATGACAGACGAGAAAAAATAAAAGATATATTTCAGTTAGAGTTTCAGTCTTTAAAGTAACCATGTCTACAAGAAATTTCCTTTATAGAGTAAGTAAACTTGGAAATTTATTTTAACATCATCATTAAAGTGCTCACATTAAAAAATACTTACATTTATTAAGAGTAGTTGTATTTCCTGTTACTACTAAAGGTGGTGGCTGACCCGTGCTGACCTTTTCTGCTGACATCTGGATCAAATTACCTACAATTTTGAATTGTCAGTAAAGATATTTTTCAATACTAAGGGTACTTGACGTAAAGCGATACTTAAAGTTTAATTGGCGTGGCTGGCTAACTAGTCGAAAATGTTAGTATAAAGTCATAAATGGTATAGCTAGGCAAAACACTTTTTGCAATTGAATTGAATTATGGAACTATATAATAATGACATAATCATTACCTATTTTTCCTCACACAAAAATATCTAACATATCTAATAAATAATATTGAATTATTGCTTTGAAAAATAAAACTACTAAGGAAAGCATATTTTACAAACCAATAATTCAATGTTGGATATCATAAACCATTGGGCATCGAGGACTACTACACACCTCGATTGGTTGTAGTAGTCACACATTTTCAATTGAGGTGTGTAGTAGTCACACACCTCGATTGGAACGCGTATTAACGCGATTACATATACCATTCATTTATTTACATTTTATTGTATAAAACATCTTAACAAAAAGAATTACAAAATGCGGACTTAATGCTTGTTGAGATACTTTCTATAGTAACATTTTAAAAGGCCAGATAGTGAGAACTCTATGAGACCAGGTAGTCATAGTACTAGGCTTCATAGAGCCAGTCACTGTTACTCGACTCCCAAAGAGTCAGTAATTCCTTCAAACACACAATAAAGTGCCAGAAAATATGCAGACTTTATCTATCAAAAGATTTAAAATATTCATTAAGCAAAAATTGTCTAGTAAGTTATTATACTACTAAACAGTACATGACTGATAATAACCCCTGGGAATGAGGTGATCGCTACCATACCGTTTCTAAATGTTTTCACAACAATAATTATATAATAAAATATTATATTGTAAATTGTGCTTTAAAAAATAAAGTCCCACTGGGTTTCTTGCTGGTTCTTCCCACGCCAGAGGTTTTTTGCGAACCAGTGGTAAAAATAAAAAATAGCTTTCAATAAGTATGAACTGTAATCTATATTGAATAAAAATTATTCTATTCTATTCTACCTTCCAACTACGCCACTGGTCCAGGGTTCAAATCCATGCAGGCAGACAAGTAACATTACGTGATAAAAACAGCCGTAGAATCACAAAACAGTAACTGGCCCCATATTTCATACACTGAATACTAAACAGATTGTTAAACACTACACTGAACATAGGTAGATTAGAATGAGTTAAGAATACTCCAGATTTTCCTTAAATATTTTTGCAGCTGCAGAAGATATAAATGTAGATAGCGTCACGCCTATTATCCCGAAAGGGGTGGACTGAACCCAAAGAGCAGCAAGCAACTCGGACCATGTTTAAAAAAAATAAAAGTTGGGTATATGGAAAATTGTGAATGAAGTGATATGTGGCTAACCCATTGCCTACACACGTACCCAACTATCCCGTACTTACAAACATTGCTTTCATAAGTAAAGGAGCAATGATATTATGAGTGAGATGTTTTTCAGTGCATTTGGTACTTAGTTAACTGTATGACGTAGCGAGCTTCTTAACTGTGCACTCATTATAATGAATGCATAGTGTTGTTCATCCTTCAAGTGTTATTTATGATTAAGTTTTCTGTACCCTGTGAGTTCGATCTCACTGTGACTTCATAGGCATGTTTATGAATACAGATGGTAATTAAACAAAAGAGTGACTTTCTAAGTATTATTTATAATCTATATTGAATAAGAAAGTTTGTTTCTGTTTTTGGAGTAATCATTAAATTCGTCTTAAATATACTAAATTAAAGGATAACTTATAAAAAAATATCACCCTTATTGTCAGTCAACACAAATGTTTTGGATGGTACATTGACTGTTTGTGGCTGAATTTTGGGCTTTGTCGATGCTGATGCTGAATTTGTGATTAGTCTGATATACTGGATCTGTAACCAAATACATGTTGCATTACATACCAATCATATAATATTAGTTTGGGAAAATAACTAATAATTTTAGAGGTTTTATCACATTTATTTTCACCTATTTTATATCTGAGTTTTCAAGTACTTTGCCATATCCATAGTTAAGATATTTCCTTTTTTTATGCCATTATTAACCCAGACTACATTCAGCATTTAATTATTAATTCTGACGTCATCTAGGCACACGAAGCTTACTTTATTTTGAATTATGGAAGTGGTATATTTAGGTTTGGATTTAATATAGTTAATAAGATTTAGAGTAAACGTTAGAATCCAGACATTTTCTATTGAGCTTATGATGGTTATATTACATACAATTATTAAGATATTGAAATTATTGGCATATTTAAAATAATGTAAATGGAAAATTTATAAAACCCCGAAACAAAAAGAGTTGATGATCTTCAAACAGATGAACCGATTTTAATAAAACCTGTCTAAAAACCACCACTTGAAAATCTGCTTTTAAATTAAAAAACCGCATCCAAATCGGTTCACCCATTTAAGAGCAACAGTGCCACAGACAGATACACACATAGTGGTCAAACTTATAACACCCCTCTTTTTACGTCGCCCCCGACGTTAAAAAGAGGGTGTTAATGACTTGTGCTAAATATAATAGATGTAGGCTATTACTATTATGCACTTTGATTTATCCTAAACTGCAAAATATTATGTATATCACAATAAATAACGATAGTAGTAATATGTATGTAATGTCAGAATAATCATACATAGATATAATAAAAGAACTGTAGGGCATATACCGCTTAAAGGAATAAAATTTAATTAACTTTAATGCTATAATATAAACATTAATTTAAATGATTTTTAAGTAATAACTCTTCATAATACTTACGCCTTTACCAGGTACATTTATTTGATGCAATTGCGTGCGTTGCCCGTCAACAACAATGTTACCATCTTTAATAATCTGAAAAAATACCATTTAGTTTTTTAGATCGAACTTGCCAGCCTCAATATTAATATGTTAAAATTTAAAAATAAAACAAAACCGAATGCCTCAAATAATAAAAATTATTCAGGAAATTAAAGTATGACATCAAGAGAGATCAAGTAGCAAAACTAAATGAGTGTCGAATTATTATAACAATTTAGTAGAAAATATTAAATTAAAACTGGCCCTACAAACAGAAATTACTCAATGCGGGAAAAAACATGAAACACATTCTAAAATTAAAGATATTAGAAACTAACTTACTTGTGCTGTCTTAGGCGGTGCAGTGGTCTTTAATATGACATTTTGAGATGGATTCGACGTTATTACTACTTTCTTTGTGGTTGGTCCTGCATAAACATTAATATTTTGTTGCAAGTAATCTGGATAATAATTTTATTCATGTGTATTTTCACAGCTCCAATGGCATTATAATCATACAAGTTTATATGAAACAATATTATATAATTTAATAACTATTTATCTGACAGGTGGTAAAATTAAAAATTTTGTACAACCCGACATCAATGTAAATGAAATGAGAACATCATCAGTGTAGTGAAAGTCAGAATCATCAAAATCTTTTCACCTAGAATAAAGTTCTGAGGTAACACATTAAAAAAAATACAGTTGAATTGAGTATGTCCTCCTTTTTTGAAGTCAGTTGAAAATGACTGACTGTTCTAAAATATAATATTGTTTATGTAAATTACATATGAAAACATCAAAAATGATACTTTTTACTAGGTGGTAGCGCCCCTTTTCTGGCTGGCTAAGTACCACCCTCTTACCTATTTCTGCCACCAAATATTCCAATCTGAAGGGTGTGGGAGTCAGTATAATTACAGGCTGTGAGACATTATTTTTAACGAAGTTGGCTGCAGATGTCCATGGACCGCAGTAACCACTTACCATTAGATGGGCTGTTAGTTCGTTTATCACTTCAGTTTTATTAAAAAAAAATTACCTAATATATTATTATATTGAAATTTCTTTCGTCCAAATGCAAATTATTGTAAAACTTTACCTTGATTGGCTTGTGAAACTTTTTCTGGTGATTTGAAAGCTATTATTTGTTGTTTTTTCGCAAATTTTACTCCCGATTTTGTTGGAGAACTTAGTAAAACCTAGCAAAAAAGACAAAAAAAAAGTATATAAACTGATGTGAAAAAATCATAAATTATTATTTGATGAATTATTAAAGATCCAAAAGATATACCTTATTGCCAAGGTTCAAAGGCACAGTTTTCTGTTGCATTGTAACATAACGGGTTGGGGATTTGGTGCTAGATACAGGCGTGACTTTTGTTATGACAGTTTGTTGACCATTCACTTCAACATTTGCTTGTCCTGGTATAGACATAGTAAAGAAATGATAAAAATGATTTTTGTTAAATCTAATGTTATTTTTTTTATAAAAATATATGTAGTTGAAATACTCTATGATATATAATAATGCAAGATAACCTAAATAGATACCTTGAACTATTACTTTCGTCATTATTGGTTTATTGGGCTGAATACTAATGTTTTTGGCCTGGATAAGTTGACCCTGTGAAACATAAAGTAAAAGTAAAGTTCTAAAACATTTTTATAAATTAGCTATTAAAAAAAAGTAACACATCAGAGAAATTAAAACAATTAGGGGCAATGTGAGTTTGTCATTTAGCAGTGGAGCAGTGCAAGACTCTTGCTCCATAATCCTCACACTTCAGATTCGTAAGCAGAAAACGACCTCTACCAATCCTATTAATTACAAAGCCACATTTCAAATTGTTGATTGGTGATTTATCACACAGTCAGTGGTGAAAGAAAACACCATACTATAACCTGAGTCATCATATTTGAAGACATCCAATTCGCGCAGAAGTATCACAGACAATTGAAGCTCCAGTAATGAAAGTTAATAATAACTAAACGACAGTAATGGTTAAGGATACAGACTGCAAACTTAAAAAATTGTGAGTTAGAATCCGCCATTAGGCTGCTTGACATGAACCACTTCTAACACAAGCATTTTAGGCTTAGAGATTAACTACGATAATAAAGTATTTACAAAGCGCCAGCAAAAGTCACAAAAGAAACAGTAATGTGAGGGGTGGGCCATGTTATCATAGTTAATCTCTACTTGAAAAAGTTAATGTTAAGAGTTACTAGTATTCTTTACAAAGCCGAAGAGGTACTTAAGTAAAAGAGGAAGATTGGTGTTAAACAAAAAAAAATCTTTTCGTTTGGTGGCACTTCGGCCCTCTGTACCATGCAAGTAATATAGGTGTTTACTTGTTTTAATGCTGACTAATAAATAAAACATTTTTGAAGTGAGTATCATTGGGGTACTGGATTTCAATGAAGTACTAAAATATAAATCATTTATCAGTTAGTAGAATGGAGTCAGTTACTCATACAGACTAAAATTTTCTTATAACAAGCACATTAATACCAAAAATGGTTGACTCTAAAAGACACTACAATATGCATCGAATATACATGGAAAAGCTATTGGTCCAAAACGGAGCTGATTCCAAGAACATTCCAAGACACATGCATATTCCTATGCTGACTTACACTGAATGAACATGTTTATTAATGAATATTAAAAAAATCTAAACTCAAGGATTTTCGATGACTATAAAGCACGGCCTTTCATGTGTAGAACTAAATCATATTCAAATTACTGAGGCTCATTTAATAATCCAAGTCACTGATGCTGCTGAAAAGGCAGACAAACTAAAGTGAGAGAACTAAGTCCTAAATTATCACACTGTGGTACTTCAGTACAGCAAACCTATGTTGCGTGAGGCCACCAAAGAAATAGCTACTGCTTCATCATCAGTTAATTTTATGAAATATATAGTGGTATAGAAATCAATGTACATAAAAAATGTAATGTACCTTATCTCCTGCATTAGCTCGTATATACTGCACAGTAGGCACTCCCGACCCAGTAGAAACACCTGAACCAGTAGATACTAGCTTCAATTTTTGAGCGCTGGCCACAGGCATCATAACAAGCTGTTTACCAATTTGTGCTGGAAATTGATTTTTACATGATTATATTTAGTTTCTAAAGAAACTGTATCTGCAACTCCTGGTTGCTGCTGGGTATAAGAGATCTGGTTCTTTTCTCACCCAAAAAGTATAGCCATTCACTAAAGAAACACAGCATGTTCTTGAGTTCTTGGCATTATACCATGTTTATATTTTAGTTTTAGGTTTCTTTTATCGTGATTAATTTTTAACCCCCTCTATTTTTAGTGACACAAAAACCTACCCGCCATCTGACAGACTGTTATCATTTGATTGGCCTTATTTTTAGTTAAAATTTGATAAGAAGATAAAATTTGTAAATGAAATACTGGTCTAGGGTTATATATTACTTAAAATCACAATATTTAACAAGTAATAGTCTTGCAAGAAAGATCATTTAGCAAATATAAAAGATGAATTTTATTGTCTACTTTTATATAAGTCACAACTGTCTAAGCTCAGCTGCACATAAGAATTTTTCTGTCAGAAAAATTCTAACGAGCACTGGAATGCACTCTGCGCATCCATTTTGTTTGAGATCCTGTATACTGTCAGAAATTTGCCGGACCGATCGTCCTCTTCTACCACTTGCCGTATGCATGCAAACCACATGTCAGAAAACACACTCACTAAATGCTATATTTTGTAATAAACGCCACACACTAGCAGAAATTCACATCAGTATCGAGTAAGGTACTCCATATTATCCAGGGTCCGTGTGATGCGCACGCAGGGTGATGAGACTGAATTATTTTGAGTTTAATTACGACATGAAAAATTATTGCATAATCATTTGTTGTTTGTTCATACGTCAACCATGATTGCAGGCTTCCAGTATAAATACCATCTGACACTTGGAAAAACAAAGCAGTGGATTTAATATGATATAATTTAATTTAATTTTTTAATACTATGTATTTTGTTTTTTAAAGAATATATATGAAAGTAATGATATACTTACTCAAAACTGTATTTCCTTTGGCATTTCCCTGCATGACACTAGCGAGAGTAACTTTCTTAAGAAAACTATTGCTTTTATTTGTGATTAATGACACAGGTTTTGGTGCAATAGCAAATTGTTTGCCTGATACATATGCTTTAGACGTTTGAACGAGAACTGGAGGTTTTGGAGCTATAGCAACTTGACGTGGTGCTGATGTGTAGACTTCAGGTTCACTTTTTTTAACCTCTCCAATAAGATTTGGTGACAATGCTGTCTGTAAAGAAGAATTTTTTTTATTATTTCATCTTTTAGTTGATAAATTATATATGGTAGAGCCATGCTGCAGCTATATTATGGTTGTAGCACAATGGGTTGGCTCAACCGGGGAAGGGCCACACTCTCACAGAAAACCAGCCTAAAATAGTAGCTTAATGCTGCTGTATTTTGTATAGTAAGTGTATAGAACCAGAGACCCCTTTTACAGGATAAAAGGCATTCTTATATTCTTAGTCCTCAGGGGTGACAACACATCTGCATTTTGATTCATAATCGATGATAAATGTAAACGTCTATGGGCCAAAGTAGTCATTTACCATCAGTGGACAGTGTTTGTCGACCCATTTCACAATAGGGATTAAATTCATATGATTGAAGATATAATCTACCAAACTGGATATAGCAAGATCTCGAAAAAAATAATGTTAAAAGCTTAGTTTTATAACTGGAACAGGAGAAGTTATAAACAATGATTTGCCTTATTGCTGGTCAGTCAGTCTTGACGACACTTAGTCTTTAGTCAGACTATGTGGCTCTTGGCCAAATACTCAAACGCTACTCAATTTTAAGTAGTTGTTAAGTCTTGTGGTGTCACAGTCACTTTGACTTAAAGTGATTGAGACAGCATGAGACTTAACGGCGACTTAAAATTGAGTAGCATTTGAGTATTTGGGCATCTGTCACGTTTAAGGTCATCTAACCATCTTTCGCGTTCTAATCTTTTATTCAAAATTAGCGTTTCTAAGCATTTTTTTCATTTTCATCTATGGGTTTCACTATTCACGACACCGAGAATGTAGTGTAATAAAATGCATTGCAGCTTTACTGCGTCAGCACAACAGCAGTAGATTTAAAGATAGGCGCTAAAACACGTCGACAAATTAGCACTATATCTAACACTAAAGCGCTAAATTGATTACGGTGCCTCTCTGGCGATGCTGGTCATACGCTGAAATGACGTGCGTGCCATTACACAACAACCTACCGGCCATCTGACAGACTGCTATCATTTGATCAGCTTTATTTTAACTAGTAACAGTCTTGCAAGAAAGATCATTTAGCAAATATAAAAGATGAATTTTGCTGTCTACTTTTATAAGTCACAGCTGTCTAGCCCCGACTGCACATAAGAAATTTCCTATCAGGAGAATTTTAACGCGCACTGGAACCTACATTATACAGGTCGCGAATGGCATCCTACAGCAATAGCCACACATAGTGAGGTATATGCTGCCGTCCCACTGACCAATATTTTTTACACTTTTAACGAAACACGGCCCTGTCACTGCACAGACATAATAAAGAATACGTAAAAATCCCCAATCCATGAGGCTGCTTTCAGGCATTGTGATGTGATTCTGTTCATGTAAATGTTTAAGACAAAAAACCCACAAAAAATCAAATTTACATTACAGCGCAGGTGGCCGATGGGTAACATTGGCGTCACAAGTCGGCAACAATGGTGTGGTAACGATTTTAACAAAATGAATTTTAAGCAAAATGTCGTAAGTGATTATTTTAAATAATATCGAAGTGAAACTTTTTTAAATATTCAGTATGTATTAAAAAACAAAAACGTCATATTTTCTTGTAACGTTTCACCGCGGGGTTGCATGAGTATACTATTATTTAACCTACTTATGTAAAATATAAAATAAAAGAAGAATATGTCGCAAAGAAGTTTCACTTCGTACATGTGTACACAAATACACACAATTTTTTTTTAGTAATATCATTGCAGTACCTACTTTGCCCCTTTCGAATTGGAAAGGATGTTTTACTACCATCCCACCTGATAACAAAAGTCTATTCACTCTTGCCTTGAGACACTCACATTCTGTATGAAGATTAGTTATTCTCCCTTCATTATACTTTTTAGGGTTCCGTACCTGAAGGATAACCAACGGGGGCTTATTACTAAGCCTCCGCTGTCTGCCCGTCTGTCTGTAAGCGGGCTGTATCTCATGATCCGTAATAGGTAGATAGTTGAAATTTTCACATAATGTGTATTTCCGTTTGCTGCATAAAAATAAAAACTTAAGGAGGCTCCCCTACAAGAAACGTGTTTTTTACCTACATAGTATTAAATCATGTATGATGGTATGGAACCCTTCATGCATGAGTCGAACTCGCACTTGGCCAGTTATTTATAAAGTATTAATGAATAGGATTGTTACCTTTACTGTAACTATCTTAGGTAATGTATAATCTTCTTTTGTTCTTTGCGGTTTGGTTTCAATTTCTATAATAGTGTCTGCTTGGGATGTAATAGTAGTACTTTGCTGTAATTTAAAAAATGAAATAGTGCAGTAGCTTAGCTTGTAGTATGAAAAATAACAATTTAAACATAACATGCAAATTAAAATTATATATACATTTGAATCCCCAGTTGTAGACAAAACAGTATTTTGATCTTCATGCTCTGTGTACTCCTGTAGTGTAAACTGCTCCCCCATAAAATCTGAAGAAAAAGAGAGAAAATTTAGATATAAAATACTATCCCTAATAACATTACTTTTTTTTACATAATTTTTTTTTATTGCAGTAACTGTTCTCATATAATTATTTTCTATACTCAATACTATATTTGATATTTCAGGCTTGAATTTTTTAAAGATATGAATTTCAGATTCAGCTTATATATTTTTTCTATATATAGCTATTAAATAGTGTATTGTATTACATAAAGCAGGATTTTTTTTGAAAAACATGTATAATATAATTTTTTTAAATATATACATTATGTTCTTGTAATGAGTTAAAACGTTTCAAAGTGTGCATTTTCACACATTTCTTGCAAAGTAATGTAAAGTATTTATACATATACTGTGTAGTGGCAGTGTAAGAATATTCACTAACTCATATTGTCCCCGTAGGTGTCATAAGAGGTGACAGATAGAATCATCATACTTGGGCAAGTATCCCGGTTAAAAGGACCATGCCCATATTAGTATGGAGCTGAAAGTCAGCAATGCCATGCAATGCCCAAATTGCAGCTCTATGTCATATGATAACTTTTTAACAGTATTTATATGATATCTAGATTTAATGTCATATAAAGCACCGGTTCAAAAGATATTGGACATTAAACACGATAACTTCCTACTGATTTTTGATACAGTGAAAGAATGAGTGACAGTTATTTTAGTTTTTGCTTTAAATATATTTGTTTATTTGAAGCCTAGATATACTTATACACTACCACAAAGTAGGGGTTTGTTTAGTTAGGGGACTAACTAAACAAAGCCTAGGATTTTATAATTTAAGAGACTGTAAATGAGGGATAGGTGAAAAAACAAATAGTGCCATAAATGGCGTTGGTAAAAAACTAGTCTAGTCTGTCTCTGGCTTTTGATAACGAAAATGAATGCTTAACTGGGCCATTTTTTTTGATGACGTTTATTATAAAATCATATTTTTATTTGGTTTTGTTGTAAAGCAGTATACTATTATTCGATTATTCAGTAATCACTTTTATGACTAATATCAATCATGTTGAGTTTTACATGGACCAAAGGACTTGATTCCTGACCGTAATAAAAAAGCATGAATTAGTGATTGAAATGATGATACGTACTACAATGTCAACAAGAACGTCTTATTTTTTTTAATTTTTTATACAGTGCTTCATATGAAAAATTAACAACATAATTCTAGTTTTTATTTATTAGAGCAATCTTGTAATATACTTTATCTGGGCATTTCTGGGGCACAGACGGGCATTGTCTTTTCCAATATGGACACCATCGCCTTAAATGCCCATATTTTTTTTTGTAGATAGTACTCACTAAAAGAAAGCGTTTTGCAAAGTTTCAATATGCGGAAGCATGTACTTTTTGAGAAAAAAATTATTGAAAATCAATTATTTTTGCAAATTTATATCAATCCCTATGGAAAAACTGACACTATTTTGTATTGACATTGTCATCGTCAGTAGGGATGTCGATTCTTTCCGAAAAAGATCGATTTTATAATTCGATTTGAATCGTAAGCTGATGTATCGATTCACAAAAAAATTGATTTCTAAAATATCGATGTTTTTTCATTTTTGCATTTATAATGGAAATATAAATCCATTTTATGAGAAAAAAATCCCCTTCATCAGACAAAAAATAGGGGACTGATTAAAAGGGGTTTCTGTATCTACTTTGAAACTGCAACGTCTCCTGAGCTGCGGCAGCCTCTACGCCTTTGTGTAACAAATTGCAGGCATCCCTCCTCGCCTTCGCAGCTTTGGCTTGTTGGTCGCCGAAGGCAACCAACCTCAGGCACTCCGCCTCGTCTGATGCCTACGATTTGTTACAGCAGGCGGAGGCTGCTCCCCCTATGCGCCTCCGATTCTATAAAAACACTCTAGGGATAGGACAGACTCGTACCAGGTGGAGTCATCATCATCATCATCATCACAGCCCTTCACAAGTCCACTGCTGAACATAGGCCTCCCCCAAAGAATGCCACAAAGCACGGTCCTGAGCCACCTGCATCCATCGACTTCCTGCATATCTTACCAGGTCGTCACTCCATCTAGTGGGGGGACGCCCTACACTTCGCCTGCCGGTACGAGGCTGCCACTCGAGAACCTTTCTTCCCCATCGGTTGTCGGCTCTTCGAGCTATATGGCCGGCCCATTGCCACTTCAGCTTACTAATCCGTTGGGCTATGTCGGTCACTCTGGTTCTACTGCGAATATCCTCATTTCTGAGTTTATCACGCAGAGAAACACCGAGCATAGCCCTCTCCATAGCTCGCTGAGCGACCTTGAGCTTCCTCATCCGGCCAGCAGTGAAGGACCACGTCTGTTCCGTATGTCATCACTGGCAACACGCACTGGGTGTACAGTCTCGTTTTAAGGTTTTGAGGTATACCTGACGAGAAGATGTGCCGTAATTTCCCGAACGCTGCCCAACCGAGTTGAATCCGTCGATTGACCTCTCGGTCGAAGTTGGACTTACCTAGTCGGATTATTTGTCCCAGGTAAACATACTCGTCAACAACTTCGAGCTTAGTGTTCCCAACAGCTACCGGCATAGGTGTGACATGGACATTAAACATGATCTTTGTTTTGTCCATGTTCATCTTAAGACCTATCCGTTGGGAAACACTATTGAGGTCATTGAGCATAGTGCTTAGGTCCTCCAGCGATTCTGCCATAAGGACTATATCGTCGGCAAATCGAAGGTGAGTGATGTACTCGCCATTGATGTTGATACCGTATCCTTTCCAGTCCAGAAGCTTGAAAACATCTTCCAATGCAGCGGTAAAGAGTTTCGGGGATATGACGTCACCCTGTCTTACACCTCTCTGCAATTGGATAGGTTTCGTACTCTGGTTCTGTACTCGGATAGCCAATGGAGTTGGGGTCAATCAATTCAATTCTTTGACATAAGTTGAACCTAACCTATTTTATTTGTTATCTGCCCTAATAAAAATAAATAAATTAAAATAAAACAGATTTCAGTAAGAGATTATTTACTATGGTATCTTTCTGGTTTTTCATAAAATGGTATTATATCTACATTATAAACGCAAACATGAAAAAATATCAATATTTTAGAAATCGATTTTTTGTGAATGGATACATTAGCTTACGATTCAAATCAATTTAAAAATCAATTTTTTTTGGAAAGAATCAACATCCCTACCGACGATGACAATGACAATACAAAACAGCATCAGTTTTACCGTAGGAATTGACATAAATATTGCAAAAATAATTGATTTTCAATAATTTTTTTCTCAAAAAGTACACGTTTCTGCATAATGAAACTTTGCAAAACGCTTTCTTTTAGTGACTACTATCTACAAAAAAAAATATGGGCATTTAAATCGATGATCCATATTGGAAAGTTTATCCAAAGTAATACTATACAGTATCTAAATTAATCTTATAAATTTATCAAAGCTAAAATGTTGACATGCCTTACATTAGATTGATAAATATTTAGATCAGATATATCAATTATAAGATAAAATAATAATAATTACCAATGATTTCTTCACTACCAGTATCCATTAATATAGGCTGTTCTTCAATGTGCTCAAACTCCATAGGAATTCCACCCCCATGGCCACTATCTTCCAAAGTTATATCTGTTTGACTGGTTACTGTATCTTCTGTATGTTCAAAATCCACCTAGTGCAATAAAAGATTTGGAAATTGTAATAAAATAAAATAATATAACAATGACATTTTACTTTATTATAATTGCCAAAATACTTTTCGTTTTACTATACATTTTTTATAAATCTACATCTAAAATGGAAAAATATAATACTCACTCCCATAGCACTATCCAAATTTAAAGAGTCACCTAAATTATGATCCATGTTTGAAAGTGGTGATTCAGATTAACTTTTTCAAATGTATTAAGACCAAAACACTAGTATAAGCACCAAATAGCGCGAAAAATTAAAAAGATTGCAGAGTTCAAAAGAGGCCGCCATTTTAAGTTGTCAAAATTCTCCGTCCCTCATACAAAATACAAATAGCCACGGTTGAAAACAAATTGTCAATCACAAACAATTATTTGTAAGTTAATGTCCGCCTTAATCACTCAAATAAATGTGTCTATGTAATATGAAATATTATAATTTTAACCAGACAATATTATAAATATAACAAAAGTAATTACTTTAAGGTAAACTGACGAAAATTCTGATTTTTCTGATGGCGCTTCTTTCAATTTTGTAAAGATGTCATATTTGACCAACCTTACGAAAAAATAACAAAATTCTTCGATCATTAAACTGCGTTCAAAATTCAAACTATCTATAAAAAGCAGTAGGATAATAATACTCATTATTACAATACGCATGAGTAGAGAGGACCTACAATTCTACATAATTTTTCTTAATTATTCATTTTCAAATAAGGTAAAAAGAGACTAATCTATTGAAAGATGTTGCGTGTAATTCATGCGTGGAAGTAGAAACGTCAAGTGATCATCTTAAGGTCTCAGTCATTCCGACAGCAGCACTGTAAATTTAAGCCAGATAAAACAAACTGCAAAAGTTATTAAGGCAGGAAATATGAAATTAATGGTATAATCAGTGACTTAGGCAAAATCCGAAAAAGGACAGCAGAGTCTACAAATACGTCAATTACAACGGTAAGGAACATCTCCACTCAACCCAATAGTTCACAAGACTTTCACAAGACAAATAATGAACTTCCTAATGTCGGAAAGCTGAAAAGGAAGCTAGAGGAAGACATAAATTTCAAAGGCTCAGAACGAAATCTTCTGCGAATAATTAAGAGTTTATGGTTTCGGTGGAAAAACAGCGAAAACAATCTGAAATTGCTGATTGAGACTTAAAATATACGTTTGCAACGTATCGAATATTTACGTAAAATAAAGCAATATCGCAAAAAGGGAAGTCCTATTGTATATACGGATGAATCTTACGTAGATTCATCGCACTCTTCTCTAAAAGCCTGGACCGATTGTACTACTAAGGGCCTCAAAACACCAATTTGGAAAGGACAGCAAGTTGTCCTTGTCCACGCAGGGTCTGTAAGTGGGTTTATACCCTGCGCGTTGCTGAATTTTAAAGCTGGTACCAAATCAGGCAACTACCACGACAATATGAATTTCGAGAACTAGGAAAATGGCTCAGAACTCAGTTAATGCCCAACCTACAACCTAATACCGTCGTGGTAGTCGACAAGGTGTCCTATCATAATAATCAGTGAGATCTCGTACCAACCTCTAATTCCAAGAAAGCTGATATGCAGGCTTGACTCACTGAAAAAGGCATACAGTGCGAGGAAAAACTACTGAAAACCCAGTTATACAATTTAATAAAGGCAACCAAGGAAAGATTCAAAACATTTTCGATTGACCGAATCCTAGCTGAACAAGGCTATCAAATGCTGAGACTACCACCATACCACCCAGATCTAAATCCTATTGAAATGGCATGATTCAATATAAAACAACACGATTTTAATATAAATTTTAAGTTAAAAAAGAAGTAAATAGCAATAATGTGATTGAAATTACTTATGCGGCAAAAAACTGAACTCAATTTGGCATTTGGATTTAGTCTAGTGAGCAGTGCGACTGCAGCTAGTTTTATTATACTTGGATAATTGTACTCAAAATGATCTATTCTACTCATGGGCATTCAGGAGTTTAGGAATTTTACAGTGTCCACTCCCGCATAAACATGGTATTATCAAATGCAGAATTCTACTCCCCCGTGGCACTTAATTATGAAGTTAGAGCCATGCTGCAGCTATATTTCTGGTATAGTTGTAACACGAATGGGTTGGTTCGACCGGGGAAGGACCACGCTCTCACAAAATACCAGCGTAAAATAGCAGCTTAATGCTGCTGTGTTTCGTATGGTGAGTGTAGAGAACCGGAGACCCTTTTTACTGGAAACGAGGCATTCCATCTTAGTCCTCACGGGTGACAACGCATCTGTATTTTGATTCGTAATCAAGGATAAATGTAGATGTCTATGGGCCACAGTAACCACTTACCATTAGGTGGACTTTGTGCTCGTTTGTCACCCTTATCCTATAAAAAAAATTTCAACCCTAAAAAGGGTCTGTTTGAGGGGGTTATGGCTGGCACTAGTGAACTTTGTGCTAAGAACCAGATATGATTGTGAATTGATTATTATAGATATCAATTCACATTCATAGATTCATAGAGTACTTAAAATACTTTATTTTAGAGTACGCTAATTTCAATGTCATCGGCTTCTTTATGGTATAGTTACTACCAAACTCTTTGACCTTGGCTATGCAAGTTTTCCAAAATTCTTGAATATGCAAAGCTACAAATTCTTCTCTTTGAAATTTACTGTGATACATATCAGTATTTAGAAGAAAAGTCATTACATGACTGAATAATGACAGGGTCTTATAAAACATCCCGAAAGGAGCACCAGAAGAAATAATTGGCTTAATTGAACATGATTTGACAGCACCCAACTCTTCAAATTCAAGCCACGATGTAATGTATTCTCAAGATTGATCTTAAGTACTTTGAAGTTCTATTTAAAACTGTATAACACACATAAATATGTTGTATTTTATTCATCCATAATGCCCTAATTACGTATTTCACAACAACAAGGTTCCTCAATATTGCATCAAAATATTTAATACTAGCTGTGCCCGCGGCGTAGCTCGCGTATATAGATTTTACATAAAGAATTTGTCGTTTAGGTAAGAGAATATTAAACGATTTATATCATTACTGTATCAATAAGTGGTAACAAATAAATCATTATCATCAAAGTTCTAAGTCGTTTATGATAGAGCTTCTGTGTAAACGACGTTAGAAGTAGACTTAGACGGGGTGTACACAAAAAGGTTACGGGGGCTACTAACGCGGGAAAAAGCAACATAGAGTTGGCCATGTGCAAAACAGTCAGTACTGAGGTCCACTCTTACAACGCGTAAATTTTGACCTTGCACTTTATTTACGGTCATCGCATAACACACGCTGACTGTAACTGGGAACTGAAAGCGCTTAAAACTGAAAGGAAAGTTACTTCTTAATAGAGGGTTTTTTGGCAGTGCTGCCAGATCAAAAAAACTCATTCAGCGCTAGGACAACACAAAAAGCGCTAGATTTCATGAAAACAGCGCTTTAAAAAAGCCCTAGATTTCGCGCTAAATTAACTACAAACAAAGTTTATGTTTTTTATTATAATTTATAATTCAAGAAAATATAATCATAATAAAGAAAACAACATTAAGTTTTTTTCTGGCAATATTTTTTGATGTATCAATACTTCGCAGGACATCGACTTATAATTATGGCAATTGCTGTCAACAGTAGTTAGTACTACTCTAAGTAACTTTTAACTTAGCTGTGTTCTAAATAACTGACTAAAACTGAATAAAGCAAAATAAATGCGTTGCCAAAACCATGAACGAAAACTTTAATTAAGGGGATTTCCCCGCTTATAGTCGTCGATAAAAAAAATCAAGTTGATCATCCTAAAGGGGAAGCCGGGAGATCCATAGCACAGGGTATCCTAGTTTGGACTCGTCTCCCATGCTCTTTGTTTTGTGGAAAAAATATGTTTGAAAAAGATAAACTGCAATGTACTATTTGTGGAAAAAAATAATAAAGGTCATTATTATTATTATCGGTAATGTGGACTAACAGTGCTGCTATAAAAGAGTTAATAACCCGCTAGTCGCTACAATTTTGAAATGTGTGCTAAATACACCAAAAAGCGCTGGATTAAGTGCTAGGTGCAAAAATTTCGAAATGCGCGCTATACATTCCAAAAAAGCGCTAAATCTAGTTCCCAAAGCGCTAAAATGGCAGTACTGATTTTGCGTATATTATAAATACAATATCACGACATTTAATTGCAATTTTGTTATTTTTGTTCGGGTTCCATTGTATGGCTTCGATAGACACAAATTTCTTCAGTAAGTCTCAATACGATTCATCGGCGAAAAATCTCAACACAGCAAATCAGAAAAGTTTGTAATTTGTACAACTCCATCTATTACGTCCTTTGTGTAAGAAAACATCCTTTTTTAAATCTCTTTTTATGTTTTAAGTATAAATATATTAATTATTATGGAACGTTTTTTTTACACACAAATCTTTTTATTACTATTTCTGAGATTTTTATGGCGCCATTGAACAAATTCGAACCTACATTTTAAAATAATAATCATTACTTTCGATAGAATTAACCAATTTTAATAAAACAAAGATTAAATGTAACTTGAAGATACGCTTTATGATTTTCTTAACGATTTCTTTGAAAAAAAAGATGTTTACTTTAGACGTGATGCATTCATATAAAAACAGACAAAGAGACAGACAGACAATTCTAAAAATTATAAAAATATACTTATTTAATTATTTTTAGTTCCCCATAATAATTTTAGTCACCAAAATAAATATACAATGTACAGAAAGAGACACAACATGTTATCATCATTTTTATTATATGTATATATTTAATTGAAGAGAGATGGCGCTGCTAACATCAACTTGATGACTCAAACAAAGCCACCGTTGAGCAAATTCCCTACCCATACTTCAGAATATTTATCATAACTTTTGATGGAATGAACCGATTTTAATGAAATAAAGACTAAATGTAACCCGAAGATACACTTTATAATTTCCTTAACAATTCTTATGATATAAATTAGTACTTTAAACGTGATACGTTAACAAACAAACAGACAGACAGACAGACAGACAGACAGAAAATTCTAAAAATGGTGGAAATGTATTTAATTACTTATTTTTAGTACCCCTTAATCACTTTTATTACAAAAATATAAAATGTACAGACATCTGCTATTTACAGTTTTATTATATGTATAGATA